GCCTATACTCTCCACAACTCCGGAGCCTTCGTGGCCGAGGATTAACGGAAATATGAAGTCTTTGGATATATTGGAGTCAATGATATGCAGATCCGACCGACATATACCGCTGGCCACGAGCTTAATGCGGATCTCATTGTCTTTGGGCGGATCCACGTATATGTCCTCAACCACTAGCGGCTGATGCAGACCGTAGGCCACAGCCGCCCGGCATTTGATACGCTCCCCGATGTTAGACATGTATAATATCTATTTGGCTGTGATTTATGCCATTTATGGTAAGTTTGCGGCGATTTAAATAGACTTTTATTAAAGGCCTTCAAATACATTATTTTGCAATTCAATTGATTTAATACAGACTCTAAATAAAAGTTTAGTATATTATTAAAACAAATAAATTAATGTTTTTAATCACGAAAAAACAAACAAAAATAAATAAATATAACTTTAATTTACTGTACTTCACAGTAAATAGAAATTTAAGTTATAACTTAATGTAAAAGTTAATGAAAATTAAACAAAGTTTACAAATAAGTATAGAACTTAATGAATGTAAAACATTTATAAATGTTTATTATAGATAAATAATTTGCGCAAAACACATGTGTAACTGTGTTTAAGATTGCGATTCAAAGTTTTTAATTAAAACACACATATTTCCAAATACTACCATGGTTGACATTGTCCTTGAACAGTTTTTGATGTATCGCTATATTAATCGCTGCCTTAATCTCGTCGACAACTCGTCCGACTTTTTGTAACTCTAAGACAAGAGTTGTTTTATACTAAGAGTTACAAAAAAGTGTACAGACGTGCCGTCGCGAGAGCGGTATTGGTGGCCAACGGGGGATCAGGTGTCCGATTGGCCGATGTTTTACTCCCGATGCCAGTGATATCATAAGAACCAGAATATTCAATACAATTGTCTCTATTGCTGGTATCACTCGTTGGCTAAATGTTTTGCGCAAACAAACAGTTTATAAGTAAAATACCAGAAACACCAGTGAAAGTGATTTTAACTGATAATTTGTTTCTTAAGGACAAACGGCGAGAGA